ACCTGTATATCTATCATTACATGTTCCTACAGTGGGAAGCCCCGCCAGCCGAGGCGGGCGCGCGCTAGCGTTTACAATTATGTTTGTCTGTCAAGAGATTACAGGAGGCCCCCTCAAAAAAAGAATCTACGTACGAGGTTCTGGGTACAGACGCGACACGGTAGCTTCCATCCAACTGGAACTTTGTTGGAGCTCTGATTGTCTGTGTGGATCCTGCTACCCCAAACCCTATACCCTGAGGAATACGGAGCCATAATATTGGTAATTATCCCTGAGCCCTAAACCCTATAACCTAAGGAATATAGAACCTGAGGCCCTAATTGCTCTGTAGGGTTCAGGGCCATGAAGCTCCACACAGTCTGTCCGTACTGTCCTTAGGAATCATTTTAGATTTTCTTATAGTATAGCCCTAAGGAAATCCCTAAACCTTCAAGTATGCTTTAGGATTATGGTTTCGAGCGCTTTCAAGGTTTAGAGTACTTTTCCTCCGGACTTGGCTGCCCGTCCAGCGAACGTATTTCTCAAGAATGCTCTCTTTCATACATTGCAGCAGTGAGTCAGGATCATGCTTCATAATGGGTTGCCCAACCGTAGGCCCCAAACTTACTCCTCAAATCCCTACATAGTTCCTCTACACCATTCTGCATTCCCGGCCATCTGAGTAGTGTTTTTTTTGGTGGTTGAACCTAGTAAGGCTATATTCCTTATAAAAAACGATACCCAAAAGGAGGATATAATCTTGTTCTATATTGGGTACCATAGTATCCCCAAATAAAATAACTAATCATCTGAAATCAGGATTTAGGGTTTGGGGGTTTAGGGTTAAGGTGCTCGGGAGCGCTGTTTGGCACATATACACCCCTACCCTATTTAACCGGAACCCTGAAGAATCCATATGCACATAGATACGCACAAACATACATATATATATATATACAGATATATACATACATACGTCAATTTCACTCTCTGCCTCTACATCGCTAAGTTACCTTATTTAAACCTCTTTGCAGGGGCTTCAGCAATCCCCCTGAACCTTAAACCTTACAGCCCAAACCCTAAATCCTAACACCTAGAACCCCAAACCCTAAATGCTAAACCCTAAACCCCTGAACCCCACTGCTGCAGGGCCGCTCTTCCTGCTCAAGGCCCTTCAACAACAGCTCCTGCTGAAAGGCACGGCCCGCAGATGGGATATGCTTGGTTTCGGGTTTATCCCTAATCCCATTCCCTAAGGGTCCAAGGACCCAAATAATAGGGCTTTAGGGCCCAAATACTATAATATGAATGGTATTTGAGCCCTAAAGCGCATTATTTGTGTCCTTGGACCCTTAGGGGTTCTATGAGCCAGAATCTAAAACCCTTAAAGCAGTTATGTAGGGGATTATGTAGGGGACCGCTACGAGGCTTATTGTAGCTTAGCTTGCATGATACACTACCACAAGGAGAAAGACTAATATTAGGGGGACCGGAAGGTTGCTAATGTGAAGGCTGGAGTCCGTGCCCATGCCTACACAATATTTGGACTGGGTGATTACTTTCAAGGCATCAGTAGGAGCACAAAGACACGGCCATAAACCTTTGAAGCTGCCTCGTGGAACCTGGCGGCTTAGGTTGTTTTAGGCATGCTTCGCTGAAATTGGCAGACATGATTTTTGTTGCCTGGCCGCAGCCCGAGCGCGAGAAGGCGAAATCCAAAACCAGGACTACGGCTGGAGCTGTGGACCGCCAAGCACGACAATCCCTTTAACGTAGCTTCCATTTTCTTCTCCTCCCAATTTGTCGATGGAACATTTGTAACTCTGAACCCGACTGTCTCACAAAACAAATGCCATTGGTTTTTAGGGTTTAAGGTCTGAGCTGAGCCGTAGGTTGTTAGGGTTTAGGGTCTAGTTCCGCAACCAATAAGGACCCAAGGAATCAGAACTCCCCTCCTGTGTACACCTCAAACTTTCTGCGCCCTCAAATCCGAACCAAGCACAAACCTTGACCTCTCAAATGGCAACAAACTAAACCCCAAACCCTTCAGCACGAAAACCCTGAACCTTAAACCCGAAAACACTACAGCCTTAAACCCTGAATCCTCAAGCCTTAAGCCCTAAACCACAGACCCAAAGAATCACCAATAAGGTCTGTTTCAGACACAGTAAGCTATAATCATAAAACATGCCTGACACCACGGCATTGATAACTATCCCTATAAACTCTTGAGGTTTCTACTCGGTTCTCCATTATGGTACCTGCGATTCTGAACTCTCTAACACTTAGATCTCGAACAAGCTCTGGTCCCTAATCCCTCAACCCTAAATCTTAACACGCCAAACGCTATGGGCCCTAACCCCTTGCCCAGCCATGAACAATATGCGGCTATGCTATCTCCGTACAAGTAACCCTTAGTATGCACTGTTGGCACATACTGTTGGTATTCATTTAGGTGCCTAAGCCCTAAACCCACCCGGCCAGCTAGGCCGTTCCCATTTGAAGCCTTCTAGGATGTCCCCTATAAGAAGCCCCAGAAAGGCCCGTGAAGAGTGTGGCGGCCTGGGAGGCCACGGGTAGTAGTAGTAAGTATATGGTACTATGTAATATACCTGATCACCAAGAAATGGGGGTTTAGGGCGCCAACCCTGAACCCTAGCAGGAGATGGTGCGGGCGGTAGCCTGTGATATTTCCACATCGGGTGGGAGAGCTGAATATTTCCCAATTTCGATGGATTCTGTAACAACATCGTGCGAGGGTCGCTTGGCCGGAATGTGCCACCACCCAAAGAATTCTGGGAGTTGGTGGCACCATGCGTGCATTGACTACCAGCCGTGCGCAATGACACGCCCCGTGCCCGAACCCCAAGGCAAGACCCTGAACCCTGAACCCTAAACCCTGAACCTCAAAACCCCAAACTCATGGCTTAGGCCGCCCACCTACGATCCTACGATGCTGTGCGGCCTATGCCCCTCAACCTCGATGGCACAGGTCGACCTAGCTGGTGCGGCCTCAGCAAAGCCAGGCATACCGTCAACACCCTAAATTCCAAGTCCGTGACTGGAGGGTGCCTGCTCGCCTTTGTCTGAGGGCCATCCTGTAAAGCTTCCTGGAGCCCAAACTCTTCCTTTGCGAGCGAATTTCGGGATCAGGTGGGCGGCAACAAGGGACTGCCAACCTGCCCAGGCAGGGCCAGGTTTAAGGGTGCTTACCCAGAACCCAGCTCCGCAGGGCAGGGCTCCGACGGGCTTTGGAGGTTTGAAGGCGTTTGTTCCGGCCTTCCAATCCTAAAGAAAAAGCTTCAAAACCCATAGCTAAGCCGTGTTTCCGAGGGTGTCAGCTCTTCAGAAGCGACATCATAAGATAAACATGAAATTGTGTTGTCGTCCAAGAAACCCTAAAAAGAGTAGGTTTGGATGGCTTGACCGCCTCAGAGTGCGTGCAGTGGCTGAATGGATTCGCTGACCTTCCACAGTTGGTCTATTGCCGCACCTCGGAAGCCGCGATGCACTCGACCACACCCTGCAGCCCGTCTATTGCAGGTTCCACGCAACATTACAGCAAAGCCCGAATCGCAACCATAAACCCTACTTGGAGGGTCGGGGGTACTTACTAAGTAGCTTAATGACCCCTATAACCCATATAGAAACCCCACTTATCCCCACTATCAACCTACTTACTAAGTCCCCCTGACCCTAAACCCTTTAAACCTAAACCCCATACTTACTAAGTCCCCCTGACCCTCCAAGTAAACCCCTCAACCTGATCCCGGGAGCTCTGCCTTGGCACCCAAAATGGCCTGCACTGACAGAGCTCGCACCCCCTGCAAGACCTGCGGTATAGGGTTAAGGGGCTTAGGGTTTAGGGTGTGGCTCTTTGAGTCTTTAAGGGGGTGTAGGGGTTACTTAGAGATATATAGGTTATTTGGGGTCACAACAGGAGATATGGGGTTTTGATAGTTCGGAGGTTTTGACGATTCATGGGGGTGTAGGGCTAGATAAGGTTTAATTTTCAGGGCTTCTGTGGGTTTAGGGCTATATAGGGCTTAGGATTAGGCTTTAGCGGTTCTATAAGATAGGTAGGCATATATAATGATATATACTCTTGGATAGGCACATATATACATATACGGATAGCGTAGAAGTGGTCTTAGGGATTGTGCAGGGGCATGCTGGGTGCTCGAAGAGGTATGTAGGCCTTGCGTAGGTTTTCCAAGTATGATTAGGGCCCCGAATACACTCTGTAGTATATCACAGCGTATATTGGAGCTTCCTACTTGGTACTTTCCCAAAATAGGGGAACCCCAATGTAGTCCCAAAATACTATAATCCTTATTATTGGGGCCCCAAAAAGGTACCCCTAATTTTGGGAAACCTCCAGTTATGAAAACGAACCCATGAGAGAAAGCCGGACAGTTTACAGCAGGTCTGGGGCTTAGACCAGTAACCCTAAACCCTAAACCCAAAACCCTAAACCCTAAACCCCTAAACCCTAAACCCTAAAAACCCAAAACCCTAAACCCTAAACCCTAAACCCTAAAAACCCAAAACCCAAAACCCT